TGCTCCGCGTAGGCCAGCTCGGGCCGGGCCCAGATGCAGCTGCTCAGCGCGCTCAGCCGCGCCGCGTTCTGCTCCACGCACTCGGCCGCGCGCTGCTTCAGCTGCTCCAGCGCCGCCGGGTCCAGCCCGGGGCTGCCCTGCGCTGCCGCCGCCTCAGGCCTCATCACCGTACTCGCTGCGCGACTTCTAAACCACGCGCGCCGCCGGGCCCCTATTTATAGCCGCGCCGCAGCGCCAGGCATGCCGGGAAACGCAGTCGCTCGGCCCCACTTCGTGACGGGCGGCGACTGCGGGACGGACTTCCCGCCCCAGGATGCATCACGCTGCGGGGGAGGTGCGTGCGAGGCTCCGCCCTCCTTATTTGAATAATTTAAAATTCCGAGTGCCCCGCCCTCCTCCTTGTGGCCAATAGAAGCGAAGGAAGGTGGCTCCTGCCCGGGGGGGGCGCGCCGCGGCGCGGCAGGGTATAACGTGAGGTGGATGCTGGGGTCTTCAGGGCATTAACTGCCCGGGGTCGGGTAGCCAGGTTGTAGCCGTATCAGTCTAGAGGAAAAGGTAATCAGGACTGGTAGTAGAGATGATATCTTTTATTAGACCAACAAGATTTTTGCGAAAAAAAAAAAAGGGGGCAAAAGCAGGGTGCAGAGAAGCCAGACACTGCCCAACGGCCTGGACACAAGTGCCACAGGCAGGGGCCACACAGTATCCCCTCCCTGCAATGTCCCCATCCCCCTGGCAGGGGAAATACCATGACCACTAAGGTGGTTTTCCTACTGGCAGTGGAAAGCCAGTTTCTTGGCAGAGGTAGTACCCTGACGGAGGTCACGTATAGGTAGCCTCCCACTTTCACTTCCAGCAGGAAGAGTTTGGCTATATACTGACTTTATAGAAATCTCCCTAGCTTGCTCCTGCAGACCTACAGTTGAGGGCAAGCAAAACTTAGGGGGCATCCAAATGCTAGCCTTTGGGCTTGGGCCTGCACATAAGATGCCCGCTAAAAGGTTTGGAAGCATTTAAAGCCCCAGGTTGGGATGAAGGATATTTGCTGGTAGCAAGGCCACATATGGTTCTTGAATGACTCTCAGATTTGGGATTGATTTGACTTGGGACGCTTTTTTCTTTTCTTTTCCTTTTTTTTTTTTTTTTTTTTTTTTTTTTTAATGTCCCCATCCCCCCCACTCCCCTAACATTTGAGGCTTGTGGTTGTGGGAATTGGAGGAGGTACCTCCACTGTGTGGGCAAGGAGAGCTGCCATCTCCTGGGGGAATTGCCCCATCTCTGAAGCCTCTTAAATTATCCCCAACAGGCACAAGTCTTCCCTGTGCCCTCCACAAATAGTGGCCCCTTCCTGTGTGGCGGAGGGGACTCACCCCAACACACGACATCTATTTATTTTCTTTTAAATATACTAAAGAAGAATAAGAGCCTCCCTCTCTGGAAAAAAGACGAGTCAAAATCTCCGTCGTATTTTCAATACTGTAGGGTTCCTTTATAGAGTCTAGTGAAAGCTGGGAAGTTAGTCACTGCAGTAGTGTGTCACTGTCAAGGTTGCCAACCCAACAACATTTTTTTTATTTTGTTGACTGTCTGCAAGCTTTTTAGTGATGGCCAGACTTTTTACTGAAACATGTTTTACATAATATAAATGAAACTCTTCTGCCAGGCCCTACCCTGCTGGTGAGTGCCAGTTAGAAGATCCAAGTTAACATTTAGGGGTTTTAACATCAACTGTAAGAGAAAAAACAACATAACAATGGTTGTCAATAAAAAGTTTTCAACAAGAACATTTTTCTTGGGTTGCCAACCCTGATCAACTGCAGCAATGGTTTTGTATAGCGCCTTCCCCTCCCAACCAAGAGCCCACTACTCACCACCCCACCCTGACTTCACTCGGCTCCATGCTTTCTCAACTCCCCTCCATCCCCCCATTCCAGCACAGACCTCCAAAGAAGTCTTTCTGCAACCCAGCAGTATTACAGGCAGCCACACAGCAGAACATAGTTAAGAGAGTGCTTTCTGCAGGGTGCTGTGCTCTGTCAGAGCTTCAATCAAGCTGCTGCTGCAGCTGCTTAGTGTATTTACTGATGGCTGATTCGTTTATTTTTTTATTTATTTTTACCAACTTTACTGCATTTTCCCCAGTGGTCCATCAATTTGTATATAAAAACTTTGGCTTTATATACATCATCTGCTAAACCACAATTAGTTGGTCCAAATATACATGCATGCTAAATCAAAATGGAATTTTCTCCCGATAATTAGCTTAAGAGGTACAGACCTATGCTGTCCATAGCACATGTCAAACCAGCTAATGCTCCCAAAACATTGAACTCTGTAGCTATTCTTGTTTCAATAAGAGATAAGATCAACCATTCCATTTTGAAGACTTATCTTCTGTTTGGCAATGAGTGCAAAGCAAAAATCTGACTTTTCTCTCTGAAAGAGTTGAAATTCATCAGCTACTTTTAAATTAATCACTCAGGAGAATGTCTCCTTCTCTGCACAAGTCCAGTCCACCTGCAGATCAAACTTATCCTATACACTGAATGAAGTTGGGTCTCCTGTACTTCTTATCTGGTTCCTTGTCCCAATCATTTCCCCCCAGAGCTCCAGGCCAGTTCTGAGCCCATCTGTATTAGGATTCTCTTCCATGATTCTTGCACCCAGCCAGATGGTTTCCATCAGCATAGGAAAGAGAAGGCTTCCAACTCTCAGTTTCCATGCTTTAAACCCAAATAACCCACAGAAAACATAAGGTGTAATTGCTGGGGGACTCCTTAATGGGAACACAATATAGTTAGGGTGTTTAGCTGCTAAAATGCCTTTGGTGAGCATGTATGAATGGTGAAAGATTGAAACCTTGGTCCCAAATTTGGCCATTGCACAGGAAAGGCAGAGGCATACCGCTAACATATACCTTTTTCCTCCCCCCACCAAGTTTCAAACCTTTGCAGAGAATTCAAGAGCTTTTCAGAGAAAAGGACATCTATATATACACACACATCTATCTTATATATCTTTCTTTGATTATATTAATCAAAGGCAAAATAATATTCCCACAATAATATTCCTGAACTATTTGGAAAATATCAATCAAAGATCTTCAGCTAGAGGCAGATGCAGATCTTCCAAATCTTCATAAATGTATTGTACTCAGACCGGGGATTTTTTTTGTTTTTTTGTAAGATCTCACTTCTGTGTGTGTGTTAAAAAACACATTTAAGATATATTAGATTTTTTATATTAGAATTCACATAGCTTATTACAGCTTCACAGTCCAGATCATGTATTTCAAAGTTGACAGTGCAAAAAGGTAGAGTTAACTTCAGTTATTAAAAAGGAATGGTTGGGCAAATTATTTTTGTTCTGATATATTCCATATCATAAGTTTAGGTAGTTTACCCATTTACATGTTTTGTGATAAGGTCTGTAGCAGGTTTGGGGTTATTGCTTAGCTAAAACAGTCAATTTAAGTCTCTCACACCAGATGTTTATTTCCAGGTATCCTTACTACACAACAATCAATACAAACTAGTCCTCAAGACATACCCATAACATAGTCCATACAGGACAACTTACCATCCTAAGGTCTTTTCCCAGACCCCAAGAAGGTACTGTCAGCTTTGTGCTGCTCTCCCAGTATTGCAGTGCAGTCTCCCTTCTCTCACTCATGTGAGTTCCCTCTCCTGCTTTTCATGGTGGTGCTGCTGCTTGCAGCCTTGAGTCTTTTGCCAGACCCTGGGAGAATCCTTGGCTCAGTTCTACCACTGCTAACCAAGCACCTACACCCCTCCCCCAGCTCCTATCCCTAGGAACCTTTAACTTCCTGTAGCCATCTAATCATCCTCTGCAGCTTGTCCAGTTCTCCTAAGCAGCCTGCAATCACTCTTGACTGCCTGCAGTTGGCTGTAGTCTCCTGTATGCCTGCAAACGCCTCCAGCCTGGAGTGTGCATTCTGCTACAGCCTTTGCAAGTCAGCATGCTACAAGGTCATTATTAATGTTATGTTTTTTTAATTTGCGTATGTCAAATTTCCTTTGTATGGAGTTAATCTTTCAGCCTACAATATAATAGAACAGGATCCGTGTTAGATTTTATTTGATGCTGAATCTAAGCAATGTAATACACTCAGTAGATGTCCAGGTTGGGACACTAATCTTTTACAATGAGCTATTCAAGAATCAATTCTAAATTCCCTTAGATGCAAGACAAAACAGGCCACAGAAGGGACCTGCTACAAAAGCCCTTACTTGTTCTTATGTACTAGCAGAACATCAAGGCTGGTGTTTGTGTTATGTCAGAGCTCAGGAAAAGGCAGGGAGATGTTTTGCTCTCTCTCAAAAGGGCGTTATTGCAATTGCTAACACATACACAAAGATGGCTGACAACTTCTTGTTGATGCCATCATATCAGCCCTCAGGAAGGGAGTTAACCCTTATTACTAGTCTTCCTTTCTTCACAAAGAAAGTGCATTGTCTTTGTCATTTCTGCTTCCCAGATATCAGGGGTCCCTAAATAAATGTTATGACCAGGCTGCAGTTAAAAAAAGTCTATGAACTACCTGGGATAAAGGACATTTCAGTGACTCTAGACTGAAGAACAAGTCTGTAGCTGTGACCAAGTGCACAGCTGCAGACAGCTTAAAAATGGCCAATTGGGTGAAAATCTGAACCCTCATTGCATGATCAGATGAAGGTGTTTCAAAACAGAACATCTTCTGTAACTTCTGTCTGCACTACCTGTCAGCCTCAAGCTGTTTTCAGAATGGGAGAAGGGAAAGGGAGTGGAAGGAGTTTGGTCTGGGGGTTTTCAGCCCCTTCTGGTGGGTGGGGAGTTGTATTGGAGCCCCCCGCCCCGAGGTGGGAGGGCTCCAACTTACCCAACCCACCTTCCAGCACCAGCTGGGGAACCCCTAGAATGAGCTCCCTCTGCTTCCTTTCCCCACTCCCATTCTGAAAACTTTTCAGGCACACAGGGAGGAGGGGCCATTGCTAGGGGAAAACAGCTGTAGGCTCCCAGCCAGCAACTAGATGCCTCTCCCCCCTGGAACCAATAGCGAACTTCTGTTGGTCCATGGGATCGTTGCAACTCAGAACGCTTCCTGCAAAGCATTCTCAGTTACAGCATGGAGCTGTATTTCTGTCTGCACCCTTCATTTCCATCC